TATACACCCTTATAGCATATATTAGAAAATTCCTTAATAGAATCTTGTATTTCAACAAATTGTAGTGGCAAAACCGGGAGGAACATTTTTGACGTGGATTCTACAGTTAATTTTTTTTTCCTAAATTCTGGACATTGACTTGATCTTACTTTTCCTGTTTGTTTGCATGTTTTTTTTATAGCTTTTTGGTGTTAATCCACTGATTAAAGTAGCGAGTAATGATGAGAAAGCAAGGTAATTAATCCGGAAAAGTGTGAGGTGAAATACGGATTTTTGGCAATTAATATGGTCAAATTAGCAGGCAGCTCATGAGTGAATAAGAGATGATAATAAAACTTGATTTTAACCTTTCAAGGAAAAAGTCTTATTATTGTTAATATTTTTTGAACTGTTACACTTTGAGGTAGGAGGAACGAAAATATTTGTATGAAATTATCATGATTCAAATTTTAGTATCTATTAGCTAAAACATTTGGTGTACTAATCAACTAGCCTACTAAGCCTAGTGCCAAGAAAAATGTCTTATTGGCTGGTAGTTAAAATGAGGTTATGATATTTTAGGTTTTAAGATAAAATCTTATTTTATGAAAGTTGTTGTACAATTTTATATTAGTTTGTTAAAATTTATAATTTGATTTGATTTGTATTGTGATGTATTCAATTTTAACTGATTGATATGATGTATACTATAATGGATTGTAATGAAATTTGTACCCATCAAAGCCTCTAGGGAAAACAAAAATTAGCAAAGAAGGTTAAAAGGCATGATCAATTTGTCTTCCCATTTTCTCCTGTTTTACCTCCAAATTAAGTATTTATTCTAAATTTTTATAAAAAAAATCTAAAATATAAGGTTATAATAACTTAAATAGGTATTTCCTATAATCTTATTTAGTTGTTTTATTTTGATTTTTACATAAAATTTGATAAGATGATTTTATATAATAAATAAAAAAAATTGAATTTTTCTCTGTACATAATTTCTGTTGAGTATTTTTAGTTAAATTCATAAAATTTTACTTATTATTTATTTGTTATAAAAAATTATTAAGTTAATTTATATAAAATTGAGAGAATAAGACAAGCAATTAAGAAAAAGATAAGAGGGAGTAGTTTGTAAACTAAAATGGGCACTTTTGAGGAAGCTTTTTTTGCTAAATTCCTATTTTAGTCCCTTAACTTTAAATAAAAAAGCTTTTTTGGTCTCTCAACTAATTTTGGATCCATTCCGGTCTCCCAACTCTAAAAATGTGGGTTTTTTTTGGTCCCCTAGTTAAATTTTGCCTACATGGTAGTTAATTTACGAAAGGACTTTATCTTGCTCTCAATTTGGTCCATCGACTTACATCAAAATGACTTTTAGTTTCATCTTTTTATTTTTTTCTTTAATTTTATTCTTGTAATTTGGTCCCTAAACTTTTAAAAATTTTGCAACATAATTCCACGATTTATTATATCTTTGAATTGACTGATTTAGTATTTTTTTTTTTTTTTTGCAAAAGAAACAAAAGTAATGTAAATCAAATAAAATTACATGTAACCAATTCAAATACCATTAGAATTAAGACTAAATAGCATCATATTATATATGAAAATTCAATCTATCAAACTAGGTAGAAATTTATTAGATTTTAAATTATGTGACAATTCCATATAAAATCATTTGCAGACTTGGAACAAGTAAGAGATATTAATTAAAATAAATTATATAAATATCTTATAAAATTATAAATTATTAAACTTAGAATTCTCTATTTCAATCCAAACTACAAAATACATTTTTTGATAAACCTATATAATGATGAATTTCGACTTTGAACTTGAATTTTTCAATTTGTAAAATAATATAATTTATTTTAATTAATGAGTTCCAATTATCCAAGTTGACAATGACAAATGAATCTAGGTGGAATTGTCACCTCATTTTAAGTTTAATAAATTTCTCAAATTCTCATGTATAATATGGTGTTGTTAATCTTTATTTCAATGGTAATCGAATAGGTTAATTGTGATTTCTTATTTGATTTTACATTGCATTTGTTGTTTTTGCTAAAAATGACTCAATTGTACGAAATTAGAAATGTTGGGATTGATTCGAAATGTTTTTTAAAGTTTAGGAACAAATTACTAAAAAAATTGAAATTAGGAATCAAACTAAAAAAATAAGAAGAGGAATAAAGTGTCAATTTTATTTATATTAAGGGACCATAATTGTAAGAAACATAAAGTCCTTCCGTTAAGTTAGTTGCTACATAGGCAAAAATTTAACAAAAAAGTATACTTTTTAAGAGATGAGGGATCCAAATTAGTTGGGACCAATAAAGCTCCACTGATTAAAGTTGGGGGACTTTGGATTTAACCTCTTTTCTTTCTGAGCTTGAATCTCTGAAATATTAACTTCTCCAAAGGGTTTCATCATAAAGGAGCAATTTTGAGTTTTATTTTTTAAATTTTAGATATATTTTAAATTTAAATCTTAAATTATAGCAAAATTTATAAAGTGACATTTGACAATGAGATTGAATAATATAATGATTTTTTATTTATTTAAAATATTTACATAACTATTATTTATTTATTAATATAAAATTTATTTTTTGATTATATGTTTAATTTTTAGTTTTCAAACCCCTAACACAAAACCAATTGAATTTTTTTATAACAGCCAAAACCAAAAAAAAAAAAAAAAAAGGGATTAAATCCAATCATTTTATTGATTTTGATTGGTTTTTAGTTACTTATTTGGTTAACTTAGCCCTAGAGCCTACCATCCGAATGACCTAATAATTTGATTCTAATATTTAGAATTTTAAAAGTACTTTACCTGTTGGATCGAGTAATTTTTGTCACTTTTCGAGTGACTCTTGTCACTTTCGAATAACTCTTGTCACCTTATTAAGGTGTAGTTCCTCCTTCTTCTTAGAGTTAGATTCAAACTCCTATGATACATTGTTTAAAAAATATATATTTAAAATTTTAGAAACTAGTAAAAAATGTGTTACAAATTCTTTTCTTTTCTTTTCTTTTTAGCAAAAAAGAAAGGCTAACATTGAAGGGAAAGCACTTGAAAACGGCAAATTAGGATATGGTTAAGAAGGGGACAAATTAGGGTCCATGTGAAAGGGCATCATCCCTTCTTCTCATATACTTGTCCTTCTACTCATCCTCTCATGTTAGGGTCCGCACATTTATGCCCGTGGACTCGTATTTCTCTTCACAGTCCCCAAAAATGATATAATTTCAGCTCTCACTTAGGCTTAGGACTTAAACATTAGGTTAGGAGTATGTTCTCAAAAAAAAAAATAATAAAGAAAGAAACAAGTAAAAAGATTAAGGACGGTTTTGTATAGGAGTACTGTGCTACACGATGCTGTAAGTCTAGATTTTTTTATGATAAAAATATGATATTAAAAAAGAGTAAAAACATATTTATATAGAAATTTTATATATTATATTTATAAAAAAATTTAATTATTAATTTTTTTATTTTTAATTATTAAAAATATAAATATAAATAATTAAATTTTATATAATTATAATATATAAAACTTTTTATAAATAAATCCTTTTTTATTATAAAATATCAATTAAATTACCAAAAATATAGAAGTATAATTCATTAATTAAAATTAATATTTATAATAAGTACTACAAAAGTATTTTCGAACGAAGTGAAGTATGTTTTTCTACTTAGTACTAATAATTTGGAATGCTTCCTCGCTCTCACAATATTTATCTCTTCTTAATTATGAGCTTTAATTATATGGTCAAAATTAATTATAATTAAAAAATAAATTCATTTATTAGTAATAAAAAATCATAAGAGTTACAGGTTAAATTATGGGATATATCAAAAATGACACAGTATATAATTGTAAGAATATAAAATACTTGATTAAGTATAATTATATGATGATATAACAATTTAGTGGTTATATAAATATTATAATCAAATCTGGATATTGATCTAATAGTGAAGCAACAAGTCAGTATAATCTAACAAAACCAAAAAATGAAAAATAATTGTTAAAATAAACTATTGCTAAAAGTATTTAAAGGCAACATAACGCATACCAACTACATTTTTTATTGTGAACTTTTTAGTAAGAAAGATATAAATTGACATAAAACTCATAAAAACTATACCTGAATGAATGAATTCCCCTAAAGGAAGGCAAGAACCCTCGCAAAGATACCTAAAAATTAAAACAAAATTATGAAAATTAAAAGAGAAACAAATAATCAAAGAAAAGGATAAAGAAATCATGAGAACGAGAGGGAGAAGGGGAGCCGTGGCTGAAGTTCCGCTCCCTTCTTTTTCCCTAATAGTCAACTTGCAGACTCTCCACTCAGTGTTTTTTTTTTTTTTTGGGTCGTCTCTTTGAACATTCATATTATGTAATGCGTTTCGAAAAAATAACAAGAGTAAATCTATCTTAAAATAGTAGATATTGAGAGATAGAGGGGTGATCTACCAATTCCAAGAAAAGTAAAAGGGGCTTATAAAAAGGGCGTTAATTTTGTCTATGAACTTGAAATCTAGTGTTATATCCCCCTCTTTTTTAAGGAAATTTGTGAGAGGTTCTTCTTCAAGTTAGGATTACATGTACAATTATAATTCAAGTAACCATCAACAAATTAAAATTATACATTTAACAATCACAAATTACAAATCAAATAAAAACCAACAATAAAACTAAACCAAACTTTATTCTTGCAAGACCCAAACTTTAAAGGAATAACAAAAAAGGAATAGTAGAGAATTTAGTTCCTATTACCCATCATAAAGAATGGTAAAGCTAACTCTTTCTATAATGCTTAATGCTTAAAAAGACTCTTCAAAACAACTACTTGGAGGCACACCCACCTCCTCCCCAAATCAATGTGCCTTTTTCCCACCATGAAAGATAGAGCCATATACCAACTTACCAAGATATATACACAACTACAAACAAAAGGGAAAAATACAAACCATAATTAAAAATAACTGAAGGCAAGCCCCTGCGCTTTGGGGACTGCAAGTGCAAGCTTGCTCGCAACTCTCAAAGCCTGTATCCTGCTAAAAAAATTCCTCTACTCTGCTTATTACCCACTTCCCCAAAACACATGCTCCTCATCCTCACCGTCATCATCACCTCCACTAGAACCACCGCCTCCTCCTCTTCCTTCTCCTTCAACTTGAACTACTTTATAACTCTGTTTCTACAGAGCTTCTCTTGATCTAAGAAATTTTGGTACATACCAGAGGAAACCAAGATGATCACTGCTAGAGACTTCTACAATGTCATGACTGCCATGGTACCACTTTACGTAGCCATGATCTTAGCCTACGGCTCTGTGAAATGGTGGAAGATCTTTACTCCGGACCAGTGCTCCGGTATCAACCGCTTCGTTGCTCTGTTCGCTGTTCCTCTGCTTTCGTTCCACTTCATCTCTTCCAACAATCCTTACACCATGAACATCCGCTTCATTGCGGCGGACACTCTCCAGAAGGTCATAGTCCTTGCGGTGCTGGCCGTTTGGACCAACTTCACTAAAAGAGGCTGCTTGGAATGGACCATCACTCTGTTTTCGCTGTCAACTCTGCCCAATACCTTGGTCATGGGTATTCCCCTACTCAAGGGGATGTATGGGGAGTTCTCCGGTAGCTTAATGGTGCAGATTGTTGTGCTCCAATGCATTATTTGGTATACTTTGATGCTATTCATGTTTGAATACAGAGGCGCCAGAATGCTGATTTCAGAGCAATTTCCTGACACTGCTGGCTCCATTGTGTCCATCCATGTCGATTCCGATGTCATGTCGCTCGATGGACGACAGCCTCTGGAAACTGAAGCTGAAATCAAGGAAGATGGAAAACTCCATGTAACTGTCCGAAAATCGAATGCATCAAGATCGGATATTTTCTCCAGAAGGTCTCAGGGTTTATCCTCGACTACTCCACGACCTTCGAATTTAACCAATGCTGAGATATACTCTCTGCAATCGTCGAGGAATCCGACTCCGAGAGGCTCCAGCTTTAACCACACGGATTTCTACTCCATGATGGCCGGCGGGCGGAACTCAAACTTTGGGGCGTCGGATGTTTATGGGTTATCTGCGTCACGAGGGCCGACGCCGAGACCGTCCAATTTTGAGGAGGATGGTTCTGGAAAGCCAAGGTTCCCTTACCACGGGACCGGTGGTGCAGCTGCAGCAGCCCATTATCCGGCTCCAAACCCAGGAATGTTCTCGCCGACGACAGGGTCTAAAGGCGTCGGTGCTAACGCTAATGCGAAGAGGCCTAATGGTCAGGCTCAACAGAAGGGGGAAGAAGGCGGTAGAGATCTTCATATGTTTGTATGGAGTTCTAGTGCTTCCCCTGTATCTGATGTCTTTGGTGGCCATGAATATGGAGCTACTGATCATCAGAAAGAAGTCAGATTGGCTGTCTCTCCAGGAAAAGGTAATTCCTTGATATTCAAGTTTCTTTAATTTTTAGTTAAGAACTTACTGACGTTCTGAAAGTTTTGAATTAAGTTTTTATTTTATTTTATTTTACTTAAACAAGCTTCTTTTATTTCCCATGTAATTTTCCTTGGTTTTCTCAGTGGAAGGAAACAGAGATAATAATGGAGAGTATTTGGAGAGAGATGAGTTTAGCTTTGGGAACAGGGGAATGGAGCGGGAGATGAACAATGAAGTTGAAAAAATGGGAGATGGAAAACCCAAAGCTATGCCTCCAACAAGTGTTATGACAAGGCTTATACTTATCATGGTTTGGAGAAAGCTAATCAGAAACCCCAACACATATTCAAGCTTAATAGGACTCACTTGGTCCCTAGTCTCATTCAAGTAAAATTCCAAATTCAAAGAAGAATCTTTGTGCATCATTTATATTTTTTTGGGGGGTTTTGAAAACAACCCACCTATTTGGTTATATCTGGGGTTCTCATTATTTCTCATAACTTGTTGCTCGACTTCTTGTAGGTGGAATGTAGGAATGCCTGCCATCATAGCCAAGTCCATTTCCATTCTGTCAGATGCAGGCCTTGGTATGGCCATGTTTAGTCTAGGTCAGTAAACATTACACCTTTTTCCTCCTTGCTTATATTCCCCCAAAAAAAAAAAATTCCCACTTACCCTTTTCTCTCTTTAATTTCTACCACCCTTTTCCATTATGCAATGTTTGTAATAAATAAAGCAACCAAAGTTAGCTAACCAAAGCAACCTTAATACTGTATAATGGTTATGATAATGTCTTGTGGTGCTCGTGATGATGAAAGGTAATGGAAAAAGAAAAGAAAAAGAAAGAAAAGAAAAGAATATGTTTGTTTGGGTGACAAATGAGGGATGGTGGTGGTGATGGGCATGGTGTGTGTGTGTTTTGATGTCATGACAGGTCTGTTCATGGCTTTGCAACCAAGGATCATAGCATGTGGGAATTCCATAGCAGCTTTTGCCATGGCCGTGAGATTCCTTACAGGGCCAGCTGTCATGGCAGCTGCTTCCATTGCTGTTGGGCTGAAGGGCGTTCTCTTACATGTTGCCATAGTGCAGGTCTGTCACGCCCTCTTTTCCTCTTTATGCTGTTGTTTTATCTTTCCCTTTTGCTGCTTCTGCCCCCTCCTGACACAACCAATCCTACTTAACAATATAAGCTCCAAAGCTTGCTTTGCTTTTTTCCTTAAAAAAAATTGGTTTTTTAAAATATCAGATTTTTTATTAATTTAACTTAAAAAATAGGAGTGCAACTGCAAACAGCAAAGTAAATTCATTGAACAAAAATTGAATAAAATAAAAGGAATGGAAGCACTAATTTAGGAGTTATTAATTAATGAAGAACAAAACATAGGAAACAAAATTCTAACATGTCTTTTTGCCCTAACAAAAAACACAGGCTGCTCTCCCACAAGGAATTGTCCCCTTTGTCTTTGCTAAGGAATACAACGTGCACCCTGATATTCTCAGCACAGCGTGAGTATATTTTCTCAAACACACCATGTCCTCTCCTTTTCCTTTCCCCTTTTCTTTTTGATGAATTTTATCAAACTTACCTTATCTCTTATTCTTATTCATTTACAGTGTGATATTTGGGATGCTCATTGCATTGCCCATAACACTTGTGTACTACATCTTGTTGGGGCTATGAAATTATGCCTAAATATATCATCATCGAAGGATTATGGCATGCATCAAATGCAAGCCCTTTTAAGTTCTTCGATCCATTGGAGCGCAAGGGAAGAGAGACAGAAATATGATAAAGGGGCCGATGATGATGATCTTTATTATGAAATGTCCTTTTTTTTCCCTAGTAAAATTTGTAAAATCTTGGTTGTAGTCATTATAAAAAAAAAAAAAATGATTTCCTTGCTTAATTTTTAAATTGTGGTAGCTAGCTAGAGTTCAACCACACAAAAGAAGGAAGAAAAAGGTTGTGACATTGCTGTTACAATTCAACACTAATTAAGATGTTACATTTCATGCAAATGAATCAGATTCCAAGATCTTTCTTTCTTAGCTTGAAATTGGGTCGGTTTTTAGTAAAAGAAAAATAGCTATATATGGATGGGAAGACGCATTAATTAAATCCACAAGCATTTGATTGATTTTGATCCTGAATTTTACAAATATCTTAAATTTAATGACTGAAAAAGGTTTGTAAAATAATTAGTTAAATTAATTTAGAAAAGTATCACTTCACTGGTTCACCCATATTGTTAGATTTCAAACCCTCACCACCTTTCTCCCTTAGAAAGGTTTTAATTAGTCAGACTATACCATAAAATATAAATGAATCATGAACCCAATAAGCCTAATAATTGCTAAAAATAATGATGAAAAGAAGGAAATAAAAATCTTTGTGATTATATTTTTTTTTAAAAATATTAAAAACATTGGGATGCATTTTTTGGGGGTCAATGGGGGTGTAAATAAGATAGTGCATGAAGGGTCCCTCCAGTACAATAGATGGGGTTTGATTTGATATGGACCTCTTTGGAATATTGGGAGACAATATATAGTCACATCGAAAGTTTCCTTTTTCTCTCTTTCTTCCTCTATCTACCTTGTTCTTTTAGTTACACACAGTGCCTTCTACTGACACCTTTCCTTTTCACTCCTGATGTCTTTGGAGCCTTTGTTTAACATCTTTTTGAAAATAAAACATTTCATGCGGTTTTGGAAGGAGGGAATCATCTTCTTTCTCCAACAACAAAAGAAAATTCTTTTGGGATTTCATCTTCTGTTTGACCTTTACTTATGAGGAGGACCCCCTAAAGTAAATTAATTAGATTTTTTCTTTATCAACAAGGAAAAGGATTTTATTAAAGAGATAAGGGTACCTCAGCCCACGTTAAAACTAAAATAGATATCCTTGAAATCCTAGCTAGTAAAACCAACACATTCATTTATGTGTATGCTTTTGATGTCAAGATTTATATTGTTAAGTACTCACTATAATGTGTTATCTACTTAAACAAATCATGATTCTATGGTTTTCTCATCAAAAGAGTCTCTCTCATCTAGATCTACTAAATGAGTTGAGTTGGATTGCCTATTGTGGGTTGTGGGTTAAATAATTTGGGTTAAACAAATTATAATTTACAAGTTTGAAAAGTCGATCCATGTTCTCACCCAATTCACAAGATATAGTACTATAACCTTATTAATATTAGTCATAGCTCAAATGAATTAGGTTAAACATATGTATTAGGGATGACTGCTCATGATCCCACTCATAATAGGTGAGTTGGTTCATGTTGGGGGATTAATTGTGCAAAGTTTTGCCAGGTTTGCTCTATTCAAAACAAAATGTTGATAGGAAAAAATGGGGTCTTTTGCAACTTGCCCAAGGAAAAGAAAATCGATCTTTCTGTGTCCACTCTTTCAGGAATCTTTTATGTGATGTTATTCATACATCAATCACTAAAAGGGAATGTGAATCCAGAAGAAACAAGCACCAAGACCCAAACAAAATCTACTCAAATTTAAGTTGGCTAGGAAAGTAAGGCACCTTCATGGGATTGTGACAATGGTATGGGACAGCTAGCCCTAATAAAAGCATGGCACTGCAATAAGTATAAGAGATATTGTCACTCACCACCTTTGCATTATGTAAATTGGCAGTACATTATTGGTCGATCTCTTACAACATATTCAATGGATAAGGAGTCAAGATGCCCCTCCATTGCAGTTCCAGAAACTACAACATTTTCTTTTCTTCTTTATGTATTTTCTTATTTGCTTGAATCCATATCAGCATCCACATTGATTGAGCTTCGTGAATTTTCAAATTTAACGGCCATAGTGGATTTATTTGAAAAACTTTCTTCCCAACAATAATTTTCCCATGCGAGATAAATAATGAAAAATATATATCATAACGTCTTTGTTTATATTATCTTGCCAAAATGAAAATTATATATTGTTAAAGGGTCAGACTAAAGGTGTGTTTAGGATAACAGTCAGGAGGTTTTTCGTATAACCATACAACACTTTTAGATACATGTATGTTTGACAATTTTTTTCAAATT